GTTAAGAATGGCAAAGTCAGCGATGCAACGCGCAAACATATGCACACATGCCCGCGGTGTCAAGCCGCCGTGTGGTCAGGCAGCGCGTCGGGGCGAATCCGCGTGCAGCACAACACACCAGCGGGGCGCCCGTGCACACAGAAGAGCTGGAAGAGCGAGGAAAAGAAAGAAGCATAGGCTAGGACATGCTGCTGGGCCGCCAAGGGCCGCGAGGGAGAGGACAATGGAATCTATGAAACAGTTGTTTACTCCGTGGGAACTAGCTGCATGGACAGTGAGGCCTGGTTTGTGTAGGTCAGCCAGTGCTGCTGTGTTAGTTCTATGGTCTCGCGGTGCGTTCTCTTCCGCCAGTAGTCTCTCTAACCTCCCCGCAATGACATCGCACATGGCTGCTGTCATGTTTTAAGGCCAGCCTACTGCCTAACGTTGCTTTCTGAAACCAGAAGAAAATTTCCCAGGGAAGCGCCCGGCAGGTGGCCAAAGGACATGCTGCTGGGCCGCCAAGGGCGCCGGGAAAAAGGTTTAAGGGCAGCCTAGGGCGTCGGGACACGTTTAAGACGTTTAAGGGCAGCCTAGTGCCTAACGTTGCTTTCTGAAACAGAAGAAAATCTCCAGGAAAGCGCCCGGCAGGTGGCCAAAGGACATGCTGCTGGGCCGCCAAGGCGCCGGGAAAAAGTTTAAGGGCAGCCTAGGGCGTCGGGACACGTTTAAGACGTTTAAGGGCAGCCTAGTGCCTAACGTTGCTTTCTGAAACCAGAAGAAAATCTCCAGGAAAGCGCCCGGCAGGTGGCCAAAGGACAGGCTGCTGGGCCGCCAAGGGCGCCGGGAAACAGGTTTAAGGGCAGCCTAGGGCGCCGGGACACGTTTAAGACGTTTAAGACGTTTAAGGGCAGCCTAGTGCCTAACGTTGCTTTCTGAAACCAGAAGAAAATCTCCAGGAAAGCGCCCGGCAGGTGGCCAAAGGACAGGCTGCTGGGCCGCCAAGGGCGCCGGGAAAAAGGTTTAAGGGCAGCTAGGGGAGACACGTTTAAGACGTTTAAGACGTTAAGGGGCAGCCTAGTGCCTAACGTTGCTTTCTGAAACCAGAAGAAAATCTCCAGGAAAGCGCCCGGCAGGTGGCCAAAGGACATGCTGCTGGGCCGCCAAGGGCGCCGGGAAAAAGGTTTAAGGGCAGCCTAGGGCGCCGGGACACGTTTAAGACGTTTAAGACGTTTAAGGGCAGCCTAGTGCCTAACGTTGCTTTCTGAAACCAGAAGAAAATCTCCAGGAAAGCGCCCGGCAGGTGGCCAAAGGACAGGCTGCTGGGCCGCCAAGGGCGCCGGGAAAAAGGTTTAAGGGCAGCCTAGGGCGCCGGGACACGTTTAAGACGTTTAAGACGTTTAAGGGCAGCCTAGTGCCTAACGTTGCTTTCTGAAACCAGAAGAAAATCTCCAGGAAAGCGCCCGGCAGGTGGCCAAAGGACAGGCTGCTGGGCCGCCAAGGGCGCCGGGAAAAAGGTTTAAGGGCAGCCTAGGGCGCCGGGACACGTTTAAGACGTTTAAGACGTTAAGGGCAGCCTAGTGCCTAACGTTGCTTTCTGAAACCAGAAGAAAATCTCCAGGAAAGCGCCCGGCAGGTGGCCAAAGGACATGCTGCTGGGCCGCCACGGGCGCCGGGAAAAAGGTTTAAGGGCACCCTAGGGCGCCGGGACACGTTTAAGACGTTTAAGACGTTTAAGGGCAGCCTAGTGCCTAACGTTGCTTTCTGAAACCAGAAGAAAATCTCCAGGAAAGCGCCCGGCAGGTGGCCAAAGGACATGCTGCTGGGCCGCCAAGGGCGCCGGGAAAAAGGTTTAAAGGCAGCCTAGGGCGCCGGGACACGTTTAAGACGTTTAAGGGCAGCCTAGTGCCTAACGGCCGCCTAGGGCGCCGGGACACGTTTAAGACGTTTAAGGGCAGCCTAGTGCCTAACCAAGGGCGCCGGGAAAAAGGTGTAAGGGCAGCCTAGGGCGCCGGGACACGTTTAAGACGTTTAAGGCCAGCCGAGCACCTAACGTTGCTTTCTGAAACCAGAAGAAAGTCTCCCAGGAACCAGGAAAGCGCCCGGCAGGGCGACCTTACGCGTTTAATGCCCGCGCAGACGGCATTTCCCCCACTTTGGGCGAGACCGCTCATGCGGCCCTCGGGGGTGGGTTTGCAAAGATCTTGAGCCAAAGACTACCACCATACGAACAATACACTGGCCGGTGGCCTTCAAACAATGGACACAATCAGAATCCTGGAAAAGCTTTTTCTCGGGCGCGCTCCCCCTGCAACTTGCTGGGGTCGGCGGATATATGCAACTACGGTGAAGTCTCCAAAGTTCAGAGAAGGGATGTTAGAGCTAGGTTGTATGACAGGCATTAACAGGCAACATTTTCAGTTTTTCACCCAGGCCTTACCCCTCACAGCTTGACTTCATGGCCTGTGTTTATGACACCCTGGAGATTGGAGGAGTGGGCATCCTTGACCCTTGGAAGGCAATGGAAGGGAGCTCCATAGTGCTTAGAGGAGCTGCATGGAGTTGCTGTCAGCGGGCCGTGCTCAGGAGAGTCCAACTGGCACCGGCAAGACGTTGTGCCAAGCTCAGCGTAGAAGTTTGGGCCTGTAAACTCTGGAAGCAAAAGGCAGATTCTTGCTAGGAGTGAAGTCTGGATGTCACTGGTCTGGAAAGATTCTGGATGTAGTTCGGACATGTTCGGACATGTTCGGACATGTTCGGGCATGTTCGGACAGTTTGCGTTTCTTACCCTCTTGGTCCTAAATCGTTTACTGATCCGCCTGTCACAAATGTCATAAAGTCGTTGCTAAGGTCATTGCTTTGCCCAGCTTTGTCATGGCTGCGTCGGCGAGAGCTTTCAATCCTAGACCCTTGGCAAAACGAAGCTGGTGACATTCCGTTTCTTGATGTTTCTCGATATTTCTTGATGTTGGACTTCTTGTGTGCAACTCTGACTAGTACATGTAAAGATGCATTCTAAGATGATTTGAACATACCTCTGAAGCATGCCCCAAGTCCCTCCAAGGCCTCAAATGAAAAGAATCCTTACTTACAGAAGTCCTCTTCAAAAAGCATGCGGTAGTTCCAGGGGGTTGTTAGGTTTATCTTTGGATTTAGATCAGATACGGTGATGGACAACTGAACAGTAGAAGTGCGTCCATTTATTTATTCATTTGGAACAACTGTTGGCTTTGCGGGTTTTAGTCTGATCAGACATATCCAGGATGTACGATAGAAGGCACAAATGCTGAAATATGCTGAAATGTTGAAATGCTAGTAATGATACCGATAAAATCCGATAAATACCAATGAGTTTGCCACAGCCCAACCATTGAAACCATATGCAACCATTGTACTTGATTGTACTTGAGAAAGTTCCCGCTGCCGAGGCTGATGAGTTGGCCCCTGTTGAGGTGAGGAACAGGGGCAGCACCAGGCAATTCGATTTCTTCTTTAGGAAACTCCTTTAAAATCCGTTGAAAGTTTAGTAACATGTTTCACAAATGTTTCACAATTCTCCTTACTGTTTCCATGTAAGTTGCAGCGCAAAGGATTTTGAGGGCTCCAGCGCACCCTGTGTTGATTGTGTTCAGCCCATCGGTAGAAGGACGCCTGTTTCCACAATTTCCACTCCAACTCCTTGTTACTCGCACTGAGCTGTTCCATCATCCATGACAGGATGCCGACGGCTGGTCAGACCTGCTGAGTTCCACGCTTACCTGCCAGTTTTCTTTGTTGCTGTGCTGTTTTGTACGTTGCATATCGTTGCATATCGTTGCATTTAATGTGGCAGCAACTGGCCTTGCAGAATTGAACAAAGATAGACAGGTGCTTCTCCAATGCGCCATGGATCTCACAAGTCATTGAACCAAGGAGCGCAAGCACAGCTCCGCGCCAAGTACACTTGGATACGTACGCTCTTTAGAAAGATTTGCAAGCAGCATGTTCAAAGCAAGAAAGAACGAGGGTTTGTCTAAAAACGGGGTATGCCCATGTATACCCCAAAATGGCAATTTCAATGGGAAAAATATGGGAAAATGATGATAATCCATTGGAATTAGTGGTACCCATTTTCCAAGAAATCCATATGAACCCACCCTTCACAGTAACCAAGGTCGCCGTCAATGTCGTGAGGAGCGGCACATTAGAGCTCGCCAATCACTGGCACCGGGTCCGCATTGGAGTTGCTGTTTCGCAGGGACAAGATGAGGCCCATCTGAAATAGAAAAGGATAGAAACTTGTTTTGTTCTGTTTTTGTCTTGGATGAACATCATGTAATGTTTTTGTTCTGACCATGCAGATATTCGGAGACCTGCAGGGAATCAGCTGTCTATCGGAAACTGTACGGGATGCCTTTTGAGGCCATGACTTCAGACGGCACCACAAAGCGGCAAAAACAACGGCGCATCGATTTCTACGCGCAGCACGGCGTCACAGTGGTTGCGTTTCTTTCTTTTTGGCAGCCGGTCCATCAAGGTTGTTCACTACATGGCACAGAGGTGCCTTCCATGCTCTGGAGGGTTGTGATTTCACCTGTTGAACCATGACTTTCTCGAGCCAATTCAGATCAAAGGCCATCGACACATCCCGAAGATGAAAGCGAACTGTCGTTGGAGGCAGGCTTGGTCCCACGTTTTTTCTACTAAGGTACAAAGAAAGTATGGTTATATTGTGGAAACGGGCTTCTGCCACACCAACGATTCTTTCGAACTCCTTGTGCCTCTGGTTGCTTTTTAGTGTGAACGATATTGAATAATGTCGGACAGCTTCGGACTCGCCAGATTGAACTCAAAGTTGAACAAACTCCCGAAACCAAGGGAGAAAGATGGAGAAAGGACAAGTCTTCAAAATTGCCAGCTGACTCTTCGAAAGTTCACCGACAAATTGGTCAGGCACCTTTGCAGCTGGAGCCAGCACCAGAGATCAGGTTGGGGCTGGGATATGCTGAGACGAACAGCTGCAACTCAACACATCCACAAGATCACTGCAGATGGCAATGGGATTTTCCTCGGAAGTCAAATAAGTAAAGCATAGACTATGCATGACTATGCTATTAGATGCTATTAGTAAATCATAGTAAATCTGCAGATGGTAATTCCAGCATATTGCAGCATTGAAGCTGGATTTGGGTTTGAAGCTCTTTGCCAGGTCTGCACCAGCCACGGAGGTCCAGTTGGGTGCCAAAAGATGGCGGGAGATGGAACGGAACAAAAGGTTGCGGCAAGCATGGAGTGACTTGCTTTCTCATGCTGTTTTCATGAACCTTTGGGTGTAACATGGTGTAACTGTAACTCTTGTGGCATCTCAGTAGCATGAAATGTGTTCGAGAAGGCATTTGGTAAGTTCTTCTCAGCCTCCCTGCCTTGTGTTGTAGGCTGCATTCGATGGCAAATTGCAGATCATTTTCTGCAGCCGCACCCACTCACAACTTGTCATCGGCTGAGCTTGCGACAGATCGTTTTTGCAAAATCACAACTTGTTTCAGCTATATTTGAAGGTAAGGAAGGTATCACCTGCCCCAAGTGCCATTTTGCCTTGAACAATGTGTGTGCAATGCCCAAGGCACAAGTTGTGCGAGAGATTCGACGCATTCCCACGGACACTGTGCCTGAGAATTTGGCTGTCAGGTCCTTACTGTGGGCGCTAGGTCAAAGCCAGGAGATGGATCCTTTAAATGAGCCCAGGGAAGTAGTAAGTAGTGGTGATGAAAATTACCATTGCAATATCATCATCGTCGTCGTCGTCGTAAGGATGATGGATCACCACTGAAATTTGGTGTACGATGGGTGTACGGCTCAAAATTATCAACCCCCAGTAAATGCCTACACTGTAGTACATTCTAGTACTAAAAATGACCCTAGTCAGTCAATAAAATATGTTCTGCTACAACTAATTTGGCATGATACAAATCTGTACTGTGGTATAAGATACTAAAAGGCTGGGTTTTGTATGCCATGTACTAGTCTAGTATACTAATTTTTGCTCAGTATCTAAAAATGCATGTTGTTTGTTTCACCGTTTTTTTACCCCAATGTCTCAACATGTCTCAACATGTCTCAACATGTCTCAACCACTCTACCCCTTTCACATGGTTTCACGATGTTTCACGGTTTCACCGAGGTGGTGACCTTGGGTTCCAGGCAGAGTTTGTGCATCAACGAGACGCTGCGCAACCGTGGCAAAGGTGGACATTTGAACGACCTTTGTCGCAGGGCATCTCAGATTTCAACAGATTCCTCAGATTCCTCAGATATTAAGGAGAACAACGATGAAACTCAGACACATAGTTGATGCTATGATACTTATGTGCCAAATCTACAAGTGGACTATGGGGATTTATAAATTATGTATGTACCATGTTTATGGTCTCGTGTGATCGATTATTACATATGTATACATATGTATACATATGTATACTGTATACATATGTATACTGTATATTATATAAATTATATATATATACATATAATGCAATGTCATGTTGATTTATATTCATATCTGTGTATCCTTAATCCTTTACTGAAATTATCAAACATCGCTGAATGACGCTGGTGATGTTCCATCTATTGGTGAGGCCTTGCAACTGAGAAGCGAAATGGCCTCAACTGCGAGCTGAAGAAGTCCGCGGAGGCCAAACATGTTGGACCCAGTGAAGCGATGCATAGCAATCCAGTTTCAATTGGGAAATCTATAGAAATGTCTATAGAAATGTATGGAAACGTAAACCTTAGAACTTTCAAACAATGATGAGAACATTGCCATGAAGTGCAGAGGGCAAAATCATGTGAATTTGTGTGGGACGATCTTACAGGTGCTATTTGAATGAATCTTCTGTGGGGTTCAAAGCACATTAAGCTGTTGAAGGTTATGGCGGATGCTATACTATCGGAGATGATGGACATCGAGGTCCAAGTCTTGAAGTCACTGGCACCCCACACCTTGTAGCTGTTTGTGGCAAATGACCAGCCCCTTCTCCCTACAAACAGCAGCAAATACTTAGGAAGTGTGCTGGCAGACAATGCGTAATAGAAGTGAACGAAAGTGATTTTGGCGGATTCCGCTCTAGGATGAACATTTGGCATGGCTGTTCGGTGTTTTTTTCCTGCCTTTTTCAATCAGAATGGCCGGAAGCAAACACTGCAGAACTCGTGCGCCTTGCCTCTCCTTCCCTGCTGGCCACACTGGCCCATTTTTCTTCTCGCAAGTTTTTCGGAGAAGCATTCAGAGAACACACAAGAGCTCACTTCAGAAAGTTGGTGATGGGACTGTTCGAACTTCCGGTGGAAATAGATGGAAATAGCCCCAGTTCAACCAGCTTACGGGGAAGGAACCCCATAGTTAGCTGGGCAAAAAAGTGTTGCAGGCAATGACGGAGCGGGGACGTGCTCCCGTCGGAGGTGGTGCTTCAGATGCAATTAGATCCGCAGAGATGAAACGATCAAAACATGTGTCGCATGAGGCCAAGAGACATGGTTCAAAAACAGAAGACTTCCCATATCTTCCCAATGTGGAAGTCAGCTGCTGTACTTTTTTTGCGACTTATAGACAGGATTAGAACACCGCACTGCCTTTGAGTGCTTCTAGCGACTCAGGTTGCCCATACTATGGAAGCCGTAGAGCAGTTGCAGAGGCGGAGTGGTTTTTGATTTGTTTCGGTGGTGTAGGGAATCACAAAACCTGGCTTCAAATGATTCATCTTCACCAGATGCAGCCAGGGTAGTATCATTTCGTTAGTTGAACATAATTGTATAAACTATGTTAAACTCTGTTGAACTCCGTTGAACTATTTTATACAAGTTTATACTTACATCATCCAAATCTCCCAAGATCTTCCGCTGATGTCGCCCAAATCGGGAGGCCGACATGTTGCTGGTGCCATACCCATCCCTGGTGAACAAAGAGACCCGCCAGAAGTTGGGGATCCGCACCCAGGCATGGACTGTGTAGCTTTGGGTGTTCTGGTTGAATCAAAACAGGGGAGGATACAGGGGATACAAGTTTCATACAGGTAAAATATGGTGAAATTGTGGATTTTGAAGTGATGAACGCGATTTAGCCATGAAACGATAGAAAATATCACCAGCAAAGTGAGGATTTAACCAACAGCAGCTCTGTTTGAAGCAGCCTTGACCAAAAAACAATACAGAGTAGCATAAGGCTATTTGAATTCCAATTTGCGTTTCATTCAGAATGCCAGGGCAATGTGCTGATTTTCGATGAAGCGCACAACCTGCTGGAGGTTGGGCAGAGACTTATTAAAGCAGAGACGTCCAGGGTCGGGTCAATGGCCCGAAGACAGGTTGATCGTTACATATCGTTACATCATGTAGTTTCTAAATGTTTCTAACCAGCTCACGATTTGCTGTCTTGGACGCACTTTGAGACGGAGGCAATTGGTGAGTCCAACTCTGTGCAAATGACTTTGCAGCAGGCAAGCAGGAGATGGAGTGGGCTAGCTTATAAGTGTTTACCGTTGTATACCTGTGCACCTTTCAAAATTGTCCCGTGTTTCCACTAAGATGAAAGGGTGGCTGGCGGTTGCCTTGGAATCCTTCTCGTTTTGTCTTGCATGTCAAGGGAGACATCACATGTATATTGCCTTAGAGGTGTCATTGTTGCATGCAGGGTTTTGTGTCATGTTCATTCATTCTCTTCATTTTGGGGATCTTGGGCATCACCATGCCTTTTGTGTTCTCGAGTTTGGGTGATGAAACAGGACTATCCCGATTGGCATAGTGACGAAACAGAATCAGACACAAGCCAAAGAAAATGCGCATAATGATCGTGAGATGAATATTGAAGAAGTGGTATCAAACTGTCACCAGTTTCTTTGAACCTGACACTGTCGCTCTGCACTGTGGAGGTTTCAATCTGTTTCATGACTTTCAGGAGTCTTGCTCAGGCTTCCTGAGCAAGCAGTTCGATGTGCTAGTTTTGCTTGTGTTCCCGCAGCTGTGACAACCAGCAAGGTCCATCAAATGATCCAGGTCATAGAGAAAATGAACCTCGGACATGACTATAGGCATGACTCAGGACCTTGCAAACATAACCCCATCATGCAAAAAAAAGAGGAACATAGTGCACCAGGGCCAGGTGCGGCTTTATGATTTATGGGAGCACCAACAGGATGGAATACTTCAGTGCGGATCAGAATGGAAGAGAATCACATGTTGAACTCAGCACTGTAGTTGGCGTCCAGTCCCAACTTTGTAGATCAAGAATCAACATCAAAGGGTTGTCCTCGGGGTGCATCAAGACTACTAATGATGATGTTGCACGGTGGTCGAAATGTGGCGACCCCAGCTCGTGCAGCCAGCAGCTTGTTCAGTGCTTTGGATGCATCGCTGCTCGACGGTGCGGGCGCCTTGCTGCAGCAGCTGCCAGAGGAGCTGCGGCAACAGGCGCGCGTGGATCTGGCGAGGCGCCTCAATCCTGAAATCCAGGCACGGCATCCAAGTTGTCCAAACTTTTTTGGGTTGTCTCATGCTTAGGGGCTCTTGTTGAAGCATTGGTTCATGAACGCTGATGTCAAGCGGCCATGCTGATCAAATATTTTAGGGATTACCGCGGCTTCCCACCAAAAAGACCATAGAAAGCTTTCGGTGATCGAGCATTCTAAGCACTCAAATTTGCCCTACGTCAACTTAAAAACAAGAATAGGAACTGAACAATGACAATTCAGCCTTGTGAGGGGTTGTGTCAAAATATTCTGGGCAGATGTTTGCTGGCACAGGCATGGATCCAGAAGTATGATCACGCATTGGGAGATACATTGGAGCCAGAGGAAGCTGACAGCGACAGTGATCCGGAGTGTTTGTTGTCAGATGATGAGACTCGGCCAAAGCGAAGACGACAAGCTCCACCACAGCCGCAAGATGGATATCCTGAGCACTTGTGGCCCGCCTTGGTGCAAGGGGAGCACGGTTTCAATGCAGAGGCGCGAAAGGTCTTGCAAGCCATGTTGCCTGATGGTGCTCATGCATGGAGCTCGCCCACACAAGGGCAAGTGAAGCTTTTGAAGCAGCAGGCAGTAGCGAGCTTGTTGGTTCACCCGAAGTCACCGGTGAGCCGAATCCTCCTCGACCACAACACTGGCTCCGGCAAGACACTGTGTATGCTCAGAATCCTCGACAATTACTATTTCAGCTTGAAACCAAAAATAGTAATAGTCCCGAAGGACACGGTGATGTGGAACCTGTATGCCACACTTTGGCAATTCCCATCCCGCTGGCGGGATTTCGCATCCCACCAATGTCCAAAGGCTGCGGAGTTGGCTTGTGGTGCCCTTGACTGGCGCAGCCGCCGCCACCTGCAATGGCCTTTGATGTCAGAGGCTTTGCGTGCTGCTGCAGCCCGCGAGGGCCTCACCTTGCAAAAGGCCATCAAGAGCCTCTTGCTGCAGAAGATGCGCGACTGCTTGGAGATGAAGCGGGCTTTCTACAACGGCAGGGTGCGCAAAGCCTATGTGGACAAGCATCTTGGATCTGACTTCAGAGCAAGCCAAACAATCAGAAACGCAGACCTGCAATCTCAACTCAAGCAAACTGGGGACCAAGGGGCATCTTTTCTTGGCATTGATGTTTGTTGA